ACTTACAACCACAAAGCCATAACTGGCATAATCTCTTAGAAGCACTGACTCCTTCCTCAAACACTTCACTTACTGTTTCTAAGTCACATATTCCTTCTTTTATCCTACCCCATTGGCCATTCCTCCAGTCTCCTTTGATAATTCCAATACTCCTCCTCTACTCAACCTCGAAATGTAAATGTTCCTCAGATAGTATTTAGACCCTCTTTTCTTGCTACACTTCTCTCCCTAGTGTGAACTCATGGCTTTAAAATAATATGGTCTCCAAAATTTTTGTCTGTAGCCCAGAGATCTCTTCTGAGCTACAGACTTGTATATACGATTGCTTACTTGACATCTCTACCTAACATGTTAACTTGGTACTTCAAATTTAACATGTCCAAAATAAATTCTCTCCCAAGCCTATTTCTCATCATTCCCTGCCAGCCCCTTTCACCACAACCCTCCACTCAAGCCAGACCCACTATTCACTCCATTTAAGATGTCATTTATATTTCTTTCCTTTACTTCTAATATCCAGTCCAACTAAAGTCTTATTGATTCTCTCTCTAAAAAAAGACTGCAAATCCACATACTTCATCTTAATTACTACCAGCCTACTCCAGGCCACCATCAACTCTTGCCCTAAAGTACTGTAGCTGCCTCCTAACTGGTCTCCCTGCTTCTTCTCTTGTGTCCCCCCATTTCTATTCTCTTCACAGCAGTAAGTTTCATCTTAAAATGTGAATCTTACTATACCACTCCCCTGCTTGCTTCACTTGGCTTCCCGATGCAGCTAGACAAAATCCATACCACTTATCCTGGCCTATAAGAACTTATGTGATCCATTACTATCTCTCCAACTACACTCCTCCAGAGTCACTCTCCCTTACCTGCTCAGCTCCAGCCAGATCAATCTCCCTTAATTCCATGAACACATTAATCTGTTTCCTACGTTAGGGATTTGCACGTCATTTCCTTTACCAAGAAATGCTTTCACCTCTCTCTTCCGTTAGTTAGCTCTTCTTCATTCTTTAGGGGTCTATTTAGCTATCAACTCCTTCAGAAAGGCTTTGCCTAATCACTTCATCCAAAGGTTCCCCATATCCTCACCTTTATTTTCTATCTCCATTGTCTTCATTATAGTACTTATCACAATTTTGGTATTTTTTTTTAATATTAGTAGAGTTGATACAGAATATTATATTGGTTTCAAGTATACAACATAGTGATATACATTATTAAATAGTTGATGTATACAACAGTTATATACATTATTAAATCCTCACATCTAGTGTATGTCAACACAGAAAGATGTTACAGAACTACTGACTATATTCTCTATGCTGTATTTTCATCCCTGTGACTAATTTTTATTATGACTGAGATTTTGTGCCTGTTTATCCCCTTCACTTACCTCACTTACCCACCCCAACCCCTCCCCCATGGTAACCACCAGTCACTTCTCAGTGACTATGTGTCTACTGCTGATTTGTTCATTTTGCTTTGTTTTGTTTTTGGATTGTCTTTCTCTGCCTGCCTTACAGCACTTATCACAGTTTCTAATTTGTTTGTTTTTATACAGTATTCATTTTTTTGTCTGGCTATCCCATGAACTGTAAGCTCCATAAACAAGTAAAGGAACTAGTCTATTTTGTTCACTACTGTATCTCCCAGCACCTAGCACAGTGCCTGTTATTAAATTAATATATGTAATTAATAAGGAATTTAGATCTCCAGGAGTCATTTCTGATACTATGAAGCTCTAAGATTGTCTTTACTATGAGCTTAAAGGGCTTCCAAGTAAGTACCTAGTATGCACTGAATAAACATTTGTGTGATGAATGAATGACACTATAAATGGTAACTGAATTTTTGTCTCTACTCCTGACCTCTCTTCTGAACTCCAAACTTCCATTTCTAACTATTGGCTGGGTACCTCCATATGGATACCCATCTCAAATCTAACAATGGCCAAAATCCAGATTATCATCTCCCCCACCAAACCTGTTCTTCTTCCTGTATTATCCATTTTAATTATTACCCAATCTTCATCCCACTCTGCTGAAAATTCTAGGTCTTTAACAACCTCCCTAATCCTTCATAATTAAATAATCCCAGTGGTTCTGATTCCCCCAAGTTATTCCTACTGTAATGCCCTGTTTAGATTTTCCATTATCTTTCAACTGCACTATTAAAATAGGCTTCCTACTGATCACCCTGCCCTTAAAATTCCACTTTCCAATCCATTGTTTATACAGCCATTAGAGTTATCTTTCCAAAACACTTGAAATCTTCAGGGCCTTAAAATAACAGTCAAATCCCTAAGCAAGGCATTTCAAAGCAAGGGTCAAAGTTTAGGGCCTTAAAATAACAGTCAAATCCCTAAGCAAGGCATTTCAAACATTCTACAATGTCCTCAAACACTGGTCCAGTTACAGCATCCACTATATTCCTCATCAAACCCTTTACTCCAGCCTACACTGGACTGGCTATTAAATGAACACATTAACCTATTTCAGTGCTTAAAATCTTTGATGGTAATAGTTCTTCAACCAATTATAAACACTCCAATCTAGCTGTGATTTTTTGGAATCCTTCCAGCCTTTAAAATCCTACTCAAATGCCATCTTCCATGAAGACTCTCATCTTTTCCTTCCAGTCAGAAAAAATCTGTCTTTCCCTTACTGTTCTCACAAAACAGTTTAATCTCTCTTTAGCAATTATTTCATCCTGCTTTGGGTGTTAGATGTCTACATGCATATTTTTCTTACTGGTTAAGGTTCGTTGAAGTTATTCATCCATCTCCCATTAACAAAGGACAATGCTTTGCACAAACTAAGCATTCAGAAAATATTTGCTAAATAAATTCATTTTTTTTAAAAAGCCAAAAGCTAGAGATCAAGTAACTTGCCAAAAATTAGTCTACTTTGATGCAAAACTTAAAAACCTAGAACGCAAATCTTCTGTCTGTTGTCCCACACTAAAACCCACAAAGTGGAATTTCTCACTTCCTAATAACAACAAAGTACCTCTGACTTCATTTCAGAATGTTTCTTTTACTTACAAATATGCTGCGTTGACCCTTGGGACAAAGTGAGGAAGTACAATCTTAAGTCCCAAGTTAATAATAGTTAACTTCCAAATGGTGCCTAAATGCATTTCAGAGCCTCATAAACAAGTGGGATAAACTTCAGCAAACTAACTGGATTCTTTTCTCCGAGGAAACTTAAGAGGGTACATTCAACCTGCGAAATAGGTACAGGCTGTAAACAGCCCACACAGCCTCGCCTTGAAATGACAGGTGAAGGAGAAACGAGCGGCCCAGCCCCTCCGAGTGGACAGCCGTTTTTCTAGACCGGGAAAGTAAGTGGACATATAAAAGAAAAGGGTAGCTCTGGACTGAAATATCCAGAGCAGAGTTCCCTTGCTTTTCCCCATTACAACGGCCTTACTGTAAGGCCTCAAGGTCCGCGGGCAGGCCCAGGCTGTGGGGGCAGTGCGGGAGCCCCTGCCCCAGGGACTCGCTGACTCCCGCTTTCTCAGAACGCTCTTGTTCCCATGCCCCAGCACCCAAAACCAAGCAAAAGAACCGAAACTCCGGCCCCAAAACCGCGCGTGGAGAAGGGCCGAAGCCGTGGGGTTTCACACCGGCCGCTCCTGGGCCCGCCAGATATAGGAAGGGTGCCCAAAGTGGGCGGCTTCCCTGTCTTCTTCGGCCGCAAACTTGGCCCGAGGCCCTGTGGAGCCTGTACTGGCTCCCTCCCTCTCGGGAACCACCTTTCCGAGCGACTGTAGCCTGGTTCACCCCGCAGCTCACCTTTCTGTCCTGGGCAGCTAGCCGGCTGTCTGTCGGTCCTGAATTCCGTCCACAAACCGCGTCTTCCGGCTCCCGCCGGAAACGGCTCGAGCGCGGGACAGGAAGTTTGTCCGCCCCCCCAGCGCACACACCCACTCGCTCGCCTCCAGGCCGGGTGGCGGCCGCCTGCACGGGGTTTTGCCCGCGGGGCTGCGAGCTTGTTGGGACTGGGCCCGCGGCTCAAAGCCCGGTCCCAGAACGGAAGGAGCTGCGGTCAGTCGCCTCTCACTCATTTCCTCTCGGCCTTCGAGGATCTATGGCCTGCGAAGCCCGAAAAACGGGGTCATTAATTCTAGTCGTGACGTCACTGTTTCCCTGCAGCAGCGGATGGGGTAGTTTTTCCTGTCAGCTGAGATCGCTACTAGTTACAGTTGGGGCAAGCGAGAAAGAAAAGCTCACTGTTTAAACATTTATCGAAGTTCAGAGTGTAGAGGACCTTTTAATGCCCCAGAAGGGAACTTCCGGAATCTAGCTCTGCTTTGCATACGGGACGGGGTCAGAAATGGTATAACTTTTTTCGGAATATGAAACCCGAGAGTCTGGGTTCCAAATATTGGGATGTAAAGAGCTCTTGGATGTCCAGACTTGGGGCTAGAATACTTGAGTTCCAGGCTGGATGCCACCACTTGTTTAGAGTTTTATGAGTTTGACTTTTTGAAACTACTTTTGAATACCTGCTGCATGCCAAAGGACGAGGAATTCAACTTGATCGTAGCAGTCGGAATTAACACTCTTCTCTAAGAGAGGCATTCTCAAGGAGAAAGACAAATCTTATCGACAGACATATCAATGGGTGAGGGAGGAGTAGTTCGGGCATGCAAACTGGTGATTTAAAAACAAAGGAGAAACACGTTTCAGGAGAAGATTTCCTCTCCATGTAAGCAAGAATTTATCCCAGTTGCCAATGGGGTATTTACTTGGAAGTAAAGGTCCTAAGCACAAGTAAGAGGCCTGAAAGAGATGTAGATTTGGGAGTTTTCAACACAAAGATGAAGCCCTCTCTGGAGATGAAATGGTCCAACACAAGTATCTGAAACAACAAAGAAGTCCACTAAAGTCAACTGGAGTGACTAATTACTAGCACAATTTGGATCTACTTTCTACAGAAGGTGCAGACAAAAGTATATTGCAGTGTGTAAACAGGTGGCCATAAACCACAACATTCAGAAAAAATCCTCAATTTTATTGTTCTAAAGGATTACTATTAATAAAACAAACTCTCTTATTTAGAGGTGCATTAGTAGATCTTGAACATTCATGTTTACAACCATTTGTTCATTTGCCCAGTCAGTCCTGTCATTTTCTGAAGCTGCCTTCTTTGTCTAAATCACCCAAAATTCCAAGTGTTTTTTGTACCTATTTGCCCTCAAAATCTTTACATTTGACAGTATGTACTTGCTAACCTAAAAAAAAATGCTTTTATCATATGCCAAATTTCAGTTCGAGAATTATGTAAAGCATTTCCAGTTCAACATATATTGACTAAGTGCCTTCTCAAGCATTGTTTTAAATAAAAGTTACTGATTTTAAAAATCTAATTTGTATGAGCCATTAAACAGTTATAGCAAATCTCCAATAGTTTCAGAAACCTGAAAAATATCATATGTAATATTTTAGCAAAAGAAAGAAAAATAGATCATGTTGATGTCAATCTATTACTGAAAATAATCATGTTGGATGTAGAGTACACATATATTGAAGATACTGGAATGAATTATGCAACTAAGAAAATACCACCTATGATCACATTTAAATCAAAAGCTATCTGTTCTCAATGAACTTTTAAAAAATACATCTTGAAAATCTATGCAAAATGAAAAGAAATCTCTATTTCCCTGATGAAGACATTTACAGAGATTACAAAGAGGTTTTTTCTGAAATGCAAACCATCTGCTTTCCGATGTTACCTCCTGTCATCATGGACTGGAATGCAGCTGGAAAGAAAAAAATAGGTTATCTGAAAATATAAAGGTCACTACCGTACATGTTCATCAATAGTTCAGACATACACAATTAATTTGAATAACTTCTTCGATTATTTTAATATTAAATATAGAAGGAAACTGTCACAAAAAGAAACCTCAAGTAAAACACTAGTAAAGTTACATGACAAACTAACCCAATTAACATATTAAAAGTTTGTTTTTACCCAAACTAGAAACGTTTAATTGGTGTCTACTTCAATGTTCACTGTTCACAGAGTGTGAAGGCTAGAGGCAAATAAGTGTGAGGATGCCAGCAAAAACAATTTTTAAATAACTGTTAAAAATATTAGAAATCTAATCAAAGATTTACGAAGTGAAATACACAGCTGTTATGTCAGAAAAATGAGTGAAATACATATTTATTTGGAAACATAACAAGTATATTAAATTTCTTTTCTGAAAAAGGAAAAAAAACAGTTTTATCCAACACTTTGCACTTGAAAAAGACATGAGAATGTTGAAATCTGAGTATGTTAAGCAAAAAAAAGCCCTAGATATTGAAAATTTGCTTGATATAATTTTATGATGCCTTAGAACCATTCAATCTGAAAAAGCTTACTAGAGGCTGAATGACTTTCATGATCCTTATCTTTTTTATAAGTTTTTGGTTTCTTTATGAAACCAAAGAAACACTTATTTTATGATTTGAAATGTGGAAACAATGCCTCTTAAATACCACTATGTTGAATATTCATGGAGTTGAAGGTATTTAAGGAAACATGTAGGACAGTTTTATAGGGAAAAAAGAAATGATTTAAAAAGAAAAAAATACTAGAGAGGTAGAATTTTAAAAAAAAGGGAACCTTTGTGCTGAGCTCATGTATATAATAAATAAATCTATATTCATCTTACCTCCTATGTTTTCCAACCCATTTATCATAGTCTCTTTGATCTGTAAATCAAGACAACTATATTTAGTATTTTTCTTTAGACTTCAATGTATCTATTTAATAGTTTTTGTTTTTGCAAAAGGAAGCAATACTATTTAGTACTTTCTGTCTGAAAATATTCTTCATTTTATGTAGGAGCCCAGGAAAGTGTCCTACTGATTTTTTTAAATAAAATCCTCTTTTCCCATTGTTCTAATCTTCGATTGGTAACATAAGCTATACACCCTCTTCAAAACACAAAGTATATAAGCACCGACACATACAACTTTGCGTATTATTTGCAGGTTTCAAAAACATCCTAGGATCAGTCTTTGGACCCCAGATTAATAACTCCTTGTTTCCTTCTTCTTAATTTTTATTTTTTAAATTGAAATATAATTTATATACAATATATTATATTGGTTTCAGATGAACAACTTAGTGACTCATCAGTTATTTACATTACTAAATGCTCACCATAAGTGTTGTTACCATCTGTCACCATATAAAGGTATTACAATTTTATGAGCTATAGTCCTTATGCTATACTTTCATCCCTGTGACTAAATTATTTTATAATTTGAAGTTTGTACCTCTTTATCCCATTCACCTATTTCACAAGTCCTCTGCCCAATAATAACCAACCATCCAGTCTCTATGTTCATGTGTTATTTCTGTATGTTTTAATAACTGCTGATTTTCAACCAACAACCAAGAGATATATCAGAATGTCCAGGGAAGGCAGGAAAGAAATATAGTGGGAAGAGTAGGGGGGAATAGAAGGTGCTTATAAGATTTTTGAGAAAGCACAGCTTCTAATACAGAGTAGGCATTCCATAAATATTTGTTAAATTACTGAATATCATAATTTGGAAAAAAAACATTGACCTTATAATCTAAGAAAAATAAATTCCCTTTAGATAAAGGGAATAATAAGAGAAGGTTTCTCAATCAGGAAGTTATAATAACCTGGGAAGTAAAGTTAATTTATAATATTCAGTATACTTTTCTTTTGTAAGAATTTTTATTATGAAACTAACATGTGTGCTACTATAAATTAAAATAGTTCAAATGTATATCAAATAGCAAGAAGAATGATATTGATAAAGAACAGAAACAAGTTCTACCTTTAGCTTTCCTTCTTTAAACCACTGACTCAGCTGTAGAATACCAGACTCAAATTTGTCCTTATAATTTATCACCAGGTATCTTTCTCTGTGGTGGGGAAAAAAGGATAATGGTTAAAGACTAGGGAGGGACTGAGAGAGTCCAAAATCAAATCATTCCAGAAGTCTTTAATCTGTTAATCTTTCAAACATTAGGACTTAACCACACAGAATCTGGTCAGATATACTTCTAGTATAGTTACAGGTGTTAAGTGTACTGGACTTTACAGTTTATCTGCCCAACACCTACAACCCTATTTGGTAACAGCACTGTAATTTTACTTTGTGGGTGTCAAAGTCACCCTCATGTGACCAAAGCCAGCAGTTTAAGCCAGTAAGTAGCAGCCTGGGGACTTGATAAAACTACAGAGAGAGCAGTTCCCTTTTTAGATTGCTAACCCCATAAATATTGACTAGAGAAAATAGTCATCCTCTTGCTGCTGTGAAAGGAGAGCCTGCAAGAGAGCAGAGCCAACCCAGAAGAAAATACAGGCTAGAGGTGGTGAAAAACTGAATCATGATGCCACTAAGCAAACCCTTTATCCACCCAAATCTAAGCCAAATACTAATACTGGACCATGAGCCAATAAATTTCCTTTGCACTTAAGCCAATATGAGTTGAGTTTCTACCACTTGCAAAAAAAAGAGACGAAACTTGCAAAAGGCAGATGCATTTTTTAAAAAGTTTTCTGCCATGGAGCTAGCTGATCAAAACCTAAATACTGAACTGGCTTAAAATATATATTTTGAAGTTTTATTTCATAATGAAAAATTTTATATGAAGAACAACACACATTTCATATACATTTATAATCTTTAAACCCCTTGAAGTTGGGAATCAGGGAAAAGGGCAGAACACACCTTGTGATGTTTCTTTCTTTCCGGATTGCTTCTACAGCAGGGGGTAATGGAGGAGGATAAGGCACGTCTTTGTTGTACTGAGAAATTTGACCACACAGGATAATGTGGCTGTTTTGATTCATCTGTTCAGAGAAAACTGTATGATTATACTGTAAGATACATGCCTTTCCTATGTTACTGATTTTATGGTTGCCTTAATGAAAGCTTACTTGACTATGGTATTTAATCCCTTAGTGCCAATTAATTGATTTCTGTTTTGAAGCTTTACCCATTATATGTGTTTAAGAGTTTTAATCAGCTAGAAAATAAGTTCACTCCAGAGAAACAAAGAGGCAATTGAGAGGCTCGTAATCAGCAGAAGAATTAACATTAGTTGCTGCTGCTGTTACTGCTATTAGTCCTAGTAGAGTATTTCTTTGGATTTAAATAATTTAACATCAATTGCAAATAATTTCATATATACTAAAGGACAATGCAGTGTTGATAAAAATTTGTAAATACTTTGTGAAAATTAATAAAGGGAAACCTCACTAAAGGTAGAGTCAGGAGGCTGGGGGGAGCCAGACCACTCCATGTCAATTACAGGAAGAACTGTCATTTACAGACTCCAACAAAAGAAACATCAGAATAAACCATTTTTGTTGATAAAATGTTTTTAAGGTTAACAACCTGCAATCTATGAAAATCCATTTCTGACACAAAGTCGGGGGCAATGGGTTTTGGTGGGCTGATGATGAGTTAGGGGTCAGAACTTCACCATTTGAACAATACAACCATAGTTTTTCACAAAAATAAACTGCAGGTGAAAAATGTAACACTGCTAGCTAAGAAATGAAACTGATGCTCATACTGCAAATCTACAAATGGAAGCAGATAGCAGCAAACTCTTCTGTATCACTTAATCACAACACTGATGACATTATTTTTCAAAATAAGCCCCACAATTTTATAGTTTTTTTTTCTCTCAGAATCAGGAAAAAAACACATAAAAAATTTGTAGTATTCAAATTTATAACAAATCGATCAACAACCTGACTTATCACGGCATCACTGATGTCACCACCAACACTGTCAAAGTAAACATCCACTCCAGCTGGGCATAATTCACGGAGCTGTTCTGCCACCTTCCCCTCTTTATAATTAATTGCAGCATCAAAGCCCAGTTCTGAGGTCAAAATGAGGCACTTCTCGTGTGTTCCACAAATTCCCACCACTCTAGAACAGCCCATCAAATGGCCAATCTGAAGGGAAATTTTTGAAAATTAGAAATCTTTCTGTTGTCACATTTAAGTGCGAAAATGTGAAATTATACAAGATATTACAAGTACATGAGAGAGTTCATCACAATTTAGGTTAGATTATGGGGCTTTTAGCTAAAACTAATTTGAACAGATAGAATGTCATTTCTTTAAAAGATTAAGTTGAAAAAGTTTGACTTCATTTGAATGTTAAAGTCACACAATTTTAAGCTGATTTTATAAAAGGAATAGTCAGACCCAAAACATCATTATTTTGTGATTCGGTATTGTTCAGGCCTGTGAGGAGCTAAAGTTATTTCTAGATAAAATGTCTTGTTTCAATTGAAGGGCCCCCACCAGTAAGATGGCGAACTTCCGGCTTCTCTTGGGGGGGTGGGTCCTCAGTTCCCACTGGCGCCACCTGAAGCCCAATCACCTCTCGCCCCCCTCCCAATCCCAGCACCTAGCCAATAGCCACCAGCCCCATAGAAGTAACACCACAATCACCCCATGCCCCTTCCTATATAACACAGCACCTTTCCCAAATAAAGCGGAATTCTCCGGTGAATTGCTGCTGTGTGTCGCTCCTTTCCTTTCATTGGTGCCGAAACCCAGGACACGGGACACCCCAACTGGGCCCCATTTTCCCCCCGACACCAGCAGCAGCTTGACCTCATCCTCTTTTTCCGGCGCTGGCTCATCACACTCACCACTCCTCTCTGGCCTTTAGGTAAGTTTTCCCCCAGAGTGGGCCACTCTTCCCCGAGCTATCACAGTGCCATTGACTGTGATCGTCTGGCAAGGCTCTGACGCTCGGGGACGAGGAGGGAACTCTCCCTGCCTCCGGCCTTCACCGCTGCAGCAGACCCTCAGGCCCCCCTCCAACAGCCATAAATTGCCGCCTCCAGCCTTCACGGCTGCTGCAGACCCTCAGGCCCCCCCTCCAACAGCCATAAACCCCGCCTCAGGCCTTCACAGCTGCGACAGGCCCTCAGGCCCCTCCTCCAACAGCCATAAACGAGGTGACTCCTTTGTGGATGAGAACGCTCCCTTTTCCCCCTTCGTCCTTCCGTTCTGTCTGCCGAAATCCGTTCCATCTGCCGAAAATTCCTAGTACTAGGTACCTCGTGACTCCGGCACTCTGCCTTCTTAGGGAAGTCTGGGTGACGACCCACACTTCCTAAGAAATTCCGACTAGTATACGAGTTTCCGCAGACCACCAAGGATCATCGGGGACACCCTTTGTCTCCTTGCCGTCTGCCTCCGGTCCGAGGATTTCCGTTTGTCTTCCCCTGTTTGTCTCCTTCTCTGTCCTTTAACCATGGGAGCCTCCTCATCCCTCCCTGAAAGTTCACCTCTTGAATGCCTGCTTAAGCATCTGGCTACCCTCTCCCTGATGCCTGATATAAAACCAAAACTTCTCCGTAAATATTGCTCCCAAGATTGGCCGACATACCCCCTAGACAATAAAAACCAATGGCCTGCAGGGGGAACTCTTGATCCTAACATCACTCGCGATCTTTTTAACTACTGCCAGCGCCTGAAAAAATGGAAGGAGATTCCCTATATGGAAGCTTTCCGCCTCCTCCTCTCCCCGCCCCCTCCCAAGTTCTCCTAGCCTGCAAGCCGCCGCCCCCGCAGAAGCCTCCCGTTCACTCCCTTCCCCTTCTTCTCCTACAACAGCCCTTCTCCCTTCCTCCCCCACCATCTCCTCCCCCATCTCACCTCCTCCACCTTCATTCCCTGCAGATTAAGCCTGAGCCTTTCAGCCCCCCTTTAACTAGGTCCCAGGGGCCTCCTCCGTCTTTGCCCTCATCACCTGTTTCTCCCCTGTTAGGGACCGCCTTTGTCTTCTCACATGTTTGTAGGGAGAATGGGAAAGCACCTTCCCCCATGTCTGAACGCAGCATGGGAAAGCACAAGCTAGAGAACAACCGGTGCAGTCCTTAGAAGTTATCTGTCCACAAAAACATATCTTGCCAAGACTCCTCACTCTGAAAATAGGGAGACCTTGAAGATGTGTAGAAACACCGCCCCTGCTTCTAGCTATGCCCTTCCCCCACTTGCCGATGTGGCAGGAATAGAAAACAACGCATTCCATAAGCAATTAACTGGAGCCCTGCTGTAGCTCAGTAGAGCATGGGACTCTTAACCTCAGAGTCATGAGTTCAAGCCCAACTAAAGCAGCAGAGGCAAGCAGCTGGGCTGCTAGCTGGCGACATGTGGGTCCGATTCTATCTTTCTTTATTTTCTTTGCCCCCCTTCTGCACTTCAGGACCTGCTCGACTAGGCACGGCTAGACCGCGTCACTCCCCCACAGACTGAGCCAGAACCCTTCAGTCCCCCTCAGACTCAGTCCCGAGAGCCTCCCAAAATTATCGCCCCCCTCCGGGAGGTAGCAGGATCCGAAGGCAGCGTGCGCGTTCACATCCCTTTCTCCTTAAGAGATTTAGCCCAACTAGAGAAACGCCTAAGTTCCTTTTCCACTGATCCCATGACATACATCAGGGAGTTTCAATAGACCCTCCAGTCTTACAGCCTCACACATCATGACATTTTCATGCTCCTGGCCAATACTCTCCTCCCTGAAGAGCGTAGACGAGTTTAGGACTTCGCCCAAATGCAGGCTACTGAAACCCACAGGACTGACCCCACCTATCCCCCTGGCCCCACTGCTGTCCCCGAACAAGACCCACACTGAAATTATAACACCGCCATGAGTCTCCGCTCTCGAGATATTTTTGCCTCCTGCTTAATAGCAGGTCTGAAAAAGGGCAGCTTGTAAAGTAGTCAATTTTCAAAAGCTCCAAGACATAATTCAAAAGAGAGATGAAATCCCCTCCGAGTTCTTAGACAGACTCACTCAAGCCCTATTACAGTATACCAGCCTGGACCCAGAAACACCTGAAGGAAGACATGTCCTTATGACATACTTCCTAGCTCAAAGCTACCCCGACATTAAAGCTAAACTCAAAAAGTTAGAACAGGGCCCCACTACCCCACAGACTGAGATCCTAACAGTGGCCTTTAAAGTCTTCCATAACCGGGAGGAGGAGAAAGAACGCCGTAAACAAAAGGCTGATCAGGCCAATTTCCAGATGTTAGCCCAGCTGATAAAACCACAACCTGGGCGCCCCTCTACAAACAAGCCCCCCCAGGAGCTTGTTTCAAGTGCGGAAAAGAGGGACATTGGTCAAGGGCGTGCCCCTCCCCCAGATCTCCTACCACCCCATGCCCCAGATGCCACAAAAAGGGCCACTGGGGGTCTGATTGCCCAACCACCCGAAGGGGAGGCTGGACGAACAACCCCCATCCTAAGCCCGCCGTAGTGGGGCTGGCAGAAGAAGATTGATGGGGCCCGGGGGCTTCTCGCCCGACCATTTCCATCACCAAACAGGAGCCCAGGGTTACTTTAACAGTAGACGGTCGCCCCATCTCCTTCCTCCTAGATACAGGAGCCACCTTCTCAGTCTTGCGAGAATACCGGGGCCCTACCACGCCAGCCATTACTCCTATAGTCGGGGTAGGAGGTAAACAGATTTTCCCATTAAAACCCCCCCCCTTTTATGCACAATCCTAGACAGTCCCATACCTTTCTCCCACTCCTTCCTAGTTATGCCCCAGTGTCCCATCCCTTTACTAGGACGGGACATCCTTTCCCTCCTCCACGTTTCCATAACTATATCCACTCCCACAGCCCCCAGTACTCCCTTTCTGATGGCCCTCATAGCCGACAACCCCCCTCTACCCAATGAAAGCTCCGGTTCTGCCCTTATACACCCTGTAAATCCCAAAGTTTGGGACATTACAAGCCCCTCCATGGCCCTATGTCCCCCTGCCTCTATCAAATTACGTGACCCCTCTCAGTATATCTGTCAGGCCCAATACCCCCTAACCACTTCAGCCCTCATAGGCCTCCAACCCATCATTCAAGATCTCTTAAACAAAAACTACCTCAGACCCACTCACTCCCCATTTAATACCCCCATATTAGCTGTTAAAAAAAACAACGGATCTTTCCGCCTTGTCCAAGACCTTCGCCTCATCAACATAGCCGTTGTCCCTATCCATCCCTTAGTTCCAAATCCATACACCCTTTTATCGCAGATCCCTGCTTCTGCATCCCACTTCTCAGTCCTAGATCTCAAGGACGCATTTTTTTCTATTCCTCTAGACCCCTCCTCCCAAGATTTTTTTGCCTTCACCTGGACGGACCCATACACCAGACATTCTGTACAGCTTACTTGGACAGTTTTACCACAAGGCTTCCGAGATAGTCCCCATATTTTTGGACAAGTCCTAGCTCAAGACCTCAAACAGTTTCACCATGATCACCCCGAGTCCACTTTATTACAATATGTAGATGATCTTCTACTCTGCAGTCCCTCGTGGGAACAGTCTCAACTTGACACTGCGTCTCTACTTAACCTTCTAGCTTCCAGAGGTTACCGAGTATCCCCTGTCAAAGCTCAAATCTCTTCCCCTTCTGTCACTTACCTTGGATTCCTTCTGTCTCAACAAAGAAAGTCCATTACCTTAGACAGAAAACGACTCCTCTCTGACCTGCCCGTTCCCAAAACCAAGACAGAAATCCTTTCCTTTCTAGGCTTGGCTGGGTATTTTAGAGCGTGGATCCCTAACTTCTCCCTGTTGGCAAGACCCCTATACGACCTCAGCAAGGGCCCCCCTAAAGAACCATTATCCTCCTCACCCCGACACTCCTTCATTAAGCTCCGTCAAGCCCTTGTGGAAGCCCCAGCTCTCCATCTTCCTGATTTGTCGAAGCCCTTCTCATTATACATTCATGAGAGGTCCAGTCAAGCTCTAAGAGTCCTAGGCCAATATTATGGCCCATCCTTTGCCCCAGTAGCTTATCTCTCCAAGCAATTAGACCCCACAGTTCAGGGATGGGCCCCCTGCCTACGAGCATTAGCCGCTAGACAGCTCTTGCAGAAAGAAGCTCATAAACTGACATTCAGAGCGCCCCTTACCATTCTGTCCCCACATCACCTAAAAGATCTCTTAACCTACAAAAGTTTACAGACTCTCCCTCCCTCCAGACTCCTGACCTTACTGTCCTCTTTCCTCCAAAATCCCGTTCACCCCCTTTGCCATCCATACCCGAATCATGACTTTTTCCTCCTTTACTGCTCTCTCGCTTTTTTTCCTCATTCCTATTGTCTTCCCCACCACCCCAGCCTCCTTTGTATGGCGATTCAAAGTCAGACAGACTTACACACAGCATCAAACAAAAGTTACTGCCCTCATTGCCACACCAGACTGCCCTCTGAAAAGCTGCTCTGAGCCTTTATACCTCCACTTTCCTCCCTCCACTGAAGTGTTCACTAGCAGCTACCCTTATTCTCCCTACCTCTGCTTCCTCTATGACCAAAAACAAGCCTATTGCAGGCGATGGCCAGATACCTACAGGAGATGTCCCTACTAGTCTTGCACCATTCACTACATGAGTAACTTCCAGTACCCACAGTATTACTCCTCCAACCGTTTCATGAAATATCCCAATGGCTCATTCTCCTTATCAATCCCAGATCCCTGGGACTCTCGATGGGCTGCCAGAGTCACAGCCTCAGTTTACTACGGGGGGTCCTCGACCCCCCACAGTACCCTTCATATCTCTCGAAAGTATGTTCCCTCTCATTCCCAGATCTCTCAAGTTGCATCAGATAGCAGACATTCCGAAAAAGTCATTATCCAAACTCTTGACGGCGCCTCTTCATCTTCTTATCCCCGCCCCTCTTCCCATTTCTCCTACTCTTCATTACAGCTCATTCAGGACACCACCATCTTTCTCAACCACACCCTTAACACAGCCAATTGTTTCTTGTGTGCATCACTACAGCGCCCACTGCTGGCCGCCGTGCCCCTTAATATTTCCAACTACTCCTTCCATGCAGAAAGACAACCCCTCTGCCCCCTGGCAGACATACCCCTATGGGAACCAGAATACGCAGATAATCTCACCATCCACCACTGTGTAGGCCCAACTCCACCCCCCTCCAGCACACTTCACTGCCTCTCTATCTACACCCCTACCTCCGGCTCTAAGACTTTTACGCAACCGGGACACTTCTTTTAGTGTAATGGCAGTCTTTTCAACTCACTGCCTCTCAACTCCGATACACCCTGCATTCTCGTCACCCTAATCCCACAGTTTACACTTTACAGCATGGCAGAATTTCTTGAGCTCCAACCTCCCTTGCCCTCGCGCACAAAAAGAGCTGCTTTCCTTCCCATCATGGTCAGTAGCTCTTTGATCACCTCAGCCATTGGGGCAGGGTTTTCGGGAGAAGCCTTGGGTCACTCTCTATGGGCAGTTAGAGATCTCAACGCCAAACTTGAGGGAGCCCTGACATCCACTGCCAATTCCCTAGCCTCTCTCCAAAGACAGGTCACTTTGCTAGCTAAAGTCACCCTTCAAAACCAGCGGGCCCTAGATCTGCTTACAGCCGAGAAGGGCGGCACCTGCGTCTTCCTCTGAGAAGAGTGCTGCTATTACATCAACGAATCCGGCATTGTAGAAACTGACATTACCAAACTCACCGACCTTGCCTCCAGCCTCCACTCTGCTTCCAATTCCAACCCATTCTCGTCAATACTAACAAACCCCCTCCTCACCTGGCTCTGGCCCATTGCAGGCCCCATAATAATCATTCTTCTCGCCTGTCTCTTCTTACCCTGTATAATAAAGTTCATCAAATCCCAAGTCGGAAAAATCTCTAATCAAACTTTCAACCAGCTTTTACTCAGGAACTATCAGCTTCTGGCCACAGAAGATCCCTCACCCTCACGCAACCTCCTCACCACACGCTGAGATGGACCCCTCTCTCCGCTAGAAACTGTTCCTAGAAACAATGGCCGCAGATGCCTGGCTCCTGGCACCCGTGTCCTCTTGGCACCATTAGAATCAACAAGTCCTCCACCTATAGTTACAGGGAACCTTCATTGATTTCCAACCTGAAGAAATCCACATCTACTCGTCCTTACTGTGGGGAGTCCTATCAACCCCTTCCTCCCAATCTTCAAGCCCTCACTCCGTTCTCTGCCCCCGTTCAGCAGGAAGCAGTCAGAGAGAAAGCAACGTCCACAACCCCATAGAGGAGAAAGGGGGGAATGAAGGGCCCCCACCAGTAAGATGGCGAACTTCCGGCTTCTCTTCGGGGGTTCTCGGTTCCCACCGGACCCACCTGAAGCCCAATCACCTCTCGCCCCCCTCCCAATCCCAGCACCTAGCCAATAGCCACCAGCCCCGTAGAAGTAACACCACAATTACCCCATGCCCCTTCCTATATAACCCAGAACTTTTCCCTAATAAAGCGGAATTCTCCGGTGAATTGCTGCTGTGTGTCGCTCCTTTCCTTTCATCAATAGTTTCACATTGTAAAGGCTATTTATTATTCATAAAAATAATGAAGTTCAAAAAATTCTATCATAATATACATTGTATTGCTAGAACCCAACAAGTGCTTCTTATTTGAAGATTTTTTTCCCCCCTGGATTTATATATTTTGGGATACACATATTTTTAAATATTAGTTTGTTTTTTAATTCATGTAATTCCTCATAGGTACTCTATGGTTTTCTTCCTTTTGATTAGTGCAAGGCTCTAGCATTTACCATGTCTATTTTTGGCTATCAGAGAAAAACATACAAAGATCTACAATATTTTCATATTGTTAATGAAAAGACTCTAGGCAGGTATGTAGAAAATGGGGAATTTCCTGACCAGGATTCCTGCCTGGCCTTAATAGCACCCATTGTGTATACAGTAAGAGTATGTTTGCACATTTATGGGATGTTTAGTGGTGACAGAGCCACTGGTCAGTCATGGGAATACTTGCCCAGGGGAGGGGTAGAGAGGAAACACCCATTCTCTCCTCTCCTCCATTCCTGGTACATAATTGGTGAGATGTCTGCCAGTCACCAGGGACCAGCCCACAGAGTTCCTCCTGGTGTGTGGGAGCAGAGGCCTGGTAGCCGCTGGGAGACGGGAGAGAGAGTTGCAGAGTCCCAGTGCTCCAGGGAAATTAAGCCCAAACATACGAGCAGGGAGCTTGGAGGGCAGGGAGCAAGGAGAGACTGAGGCCTACTGCCTAGAGGATTAAGCTCGTGCTGGGAAGCAGACCCAGTAGCTGCGTGTACCGAGCTGCCTGTGACCACACTGAGAATAAATGTGGTAACCCCCTTTGCCCCCAGCCCCTTGCCTTTGTTTGGTCTCATCGAATTCATAGAGAACTTTCCCCTGGCCAGGAACCGCCTCCTCCTGGAGCTACAGCTGGTAATAACCTCATTTCTACCAAAACATGTAAAATAACTGTATTATAAATTTGTTAATTTCTATATTTTAAATTACATACATAAACCCAGAGAATCAATTATGATCACTTTTTCAGAAAATCAAACAATTCTCAGCTTACCTGCCCAGCCAGGGATCCACAGGCACCAGCAGCTGCACTAACAACCATCGTCTGATTAGATCCAGCAGCCACGTGACCTTTTTCCTGTATCCCAAACAAGGAAGTCAAGCCAGGCATACCCACAGCCCCAAGAAAGTATGAGAGGTGCCCATCCACAAGTTGCGGGTCTACCTAAAATAAGAAAAAATAAAAATAATGCTAGGGATTCCTGTTTTAAGTCAACAAGGTAGGGACAACTGGTTATGGACTCAGTCTCCCCAATATTCATGTTGAAGGCCTAACCTTTAATGTGACTTTGTTTGGAGACAGGGCCTTTAGGGAGATCATGAAGGTTAAATGAGGTCATAAGGGACAGGCCCTAATCCTACAGAACTTGTGCCCTTATAAGAATAGGGAAGATTCTCTGTATGTGCAATGAGGAAAGGCCAAGTATGAGGACATAGTGAAAGGGTGGCCATCTGCAAGCCAGGAAGCTCCACGAGAAACCAAATTCTCCAGCACCTTGATCTAAGACTTCTAGCTTCCAGAACTGTGAGAAAATAGATTTCTGTTGTTTGAAGAACCCAGACTCTGGTACCCTGTAGTGGCAGTTCAAGCAGACTAATAAACAACCCAGTGTGGTTTCTAGAACAGTAAACCACTCTTCAGTTTTGTTAAAATTGTATAATTTACTTGTACAAAGTAAAAAACAAATGAATATTACTTCTCTTATAGCAAAAAAAAGAACCCCACATAAAAGACACTAAATATTCTTTCTGGTCAATACCCCAAGTATATCAAAAGAGAGGAAACACTTAACAGGAAAAACATTAGGTAAAGTTGGAAGGTTTTTAAATCTCTGAACACTTCCAAAATTAACATTTATCTAATAAAAAATCAGCTCAAACTCTAACAGTTCTCATTACTGATGCTTAAAATGTACCATAAAAATATAAGGAAGATGTGATACAAATTCTTTTAGTTTACTTAGAGAATAAAGTGAGGTCTCCTTAACTTTCAGCACTTTATATGTTTACCAGGCCCTATCAATAATTAGCCATACTTCTCTTAGATTTTCTGTGCTGTTTCCTTATACGTAAAATAGGGAGAATTGGGGAAAAAATGGTATAGAAAGACTCCCTACCATAAAGATTTATAATAATTTTTTAAGGAATTGGATAATTTGGGTAAAACTTTGATAAGCCACCAAAAGTAATCAAGATTCACCACCTTAGTTTGGTTTGTAGTTAAACTGCCATAAAGAAATAAAATGGAAGTTTCTATTTGGCAGTTTTAAATGGCTATCAGTTAAATCTGGTATATGGATAAAGATAGAGGAGATATTAAAGTCTATAATACACAGAAAAATTTACAGTATATCAAAAAATTTCATGTAGGTAAAAGTTACTTATTAGTAAAACCAGTATAAAAACATTGTGAGATTAGTTTGTGTTCAGCAAGTATTTCTCCAACTCTTCTGAATCCTTCATTTCTAACACCTAGTTCCAAAGCCTTTTTAACCTCTCTCCAACTGCTCAATTTCCCACTATAGTACAATGACAGGGAAAACTAGAAACTGCTGAATATTTCCTTTTCTAGTTAAATGTATTTTACTAGTACCACTAAGTTGATAAATGATTGTGCAATGTCTCCCATATATCGTTTGTATCTTAATGGCTACCTTTAACTGAAAATAAGAATTTTTAATAATAATAAATCCTACAATTTTAGAAAGGTTTTTACAAAGTCATAGACACCATTTATCATAGCATTTACTTTTCACATTCTCTTATGAGATAGCGAATATCTCTTATGAGATATTTTCATTTTGCACATGAGGAAACAGGTTCAGAGACATAAAGTCAAGTCCTTGATGCTGTATTACATGAAGCCACCAGTTTTTGGAGGTCAAAACAAACATTGGTAATTTCAAACGGTTCAACCTAACAGTTGAAACTGAATTCAGGACTTCCTACACAAGATGGAATTTCAAGCACAAACCAAATGAATTTCTTAAGTCAAATGGCAATTTCTCAGGAAATGTTAAAGCATACAAATATAAGGGGCCCTTTGGGTCTTACTATAAAATATTTTTTTGATGCTTATAGCTCAGCTTTTATTTTATACATGTAAAGTTTGAGAAATAAATTAAGTATGGAAAACACCACCATTCACCGGGAATCCAAGAACTGTCACATATAGATACAGCCAACAGTGGAAAAGGAGCAAAGTCTTTCCATACTGCGGCCACTATCTAAAAGAAAACAGATGCTTTTATTTTTTTTCCCCAATAACAAATAGAACTGAACACCAAAGACACAAAGTAAGACTTATGGGGGAAAAAAAATCAGATACTTTAAATTATACATCACCTTTTCAAGGCTATTTCCATCCAGAATAACCTTGGTTTGCCAGGGCCAAAAGAAAGAAGTCACAAAATCGCCTTTAGAAAAATTGGTGTGTTTGCTTTCTTCTATAATCCCAATACCTCCACCATCCACCACTTGAGACAGCTGCCAAGGTGTTAAATAATCAGTGCCAGTGTTCTCATTCATTCTACAACGCTAAAATAGAAAACACTGATCAGGATAATTCTGTCAGAACCAGTTTACTTATTTTTACCCAGTGACTAAAAGAAAGGCAGCTAAGAAGTAATGTCAAGTAAAGTGTTAGTCAAACAAATAAAATTTATCTTAATTACTCTTCCTTTCAGTATTGTTATCTAAAAAAAAATGCATCTCCTCTCTAACAAGTAAAAAAGTGCAATTAAAAAGGAATTTAAGTATATCCTAAAATTAGATTGTGGTGGTAGTCCAACAATTTTGTGAATAGCCTAAAAACCACTGAATTGTACACTTTACATGTGTGAACTGTATGACAAATGTGTATTTTATTTCAATGAAGCTATTAAAAATTTCAAACTATAACTTAAAGAAATTTAAGTAATATTACACACATTATACTAGCAAGAATAATACAAAACACTGTGTCAATGGTTTCAATGGCCTGTGACAAATTAGGTACACTTACATGTTGCTGATATTATAACTAACTGCCCATTTCTTATAGAAAACAAACTAGCAAGATATAGACCATAATGCTACTCATTTCCTTCAGCCTAATGATTTTGCTTCCTCAGTGGGAATAAACCCAAAAAGAAATGAAACTATTTTACACAGTTGTTCATCACAACTTCTGACGGAGCACATCATACCCCCTAATGTCAGGTGGAAGTTCACTTTATTTTACAAACATAAAAATGTCAAAATAGCACCACACCCTTCCCCGGGAGTAGGGCTAAAGACCTCTCTGGGAAGTAGTCAAGGCTCTCTTCCTCTCTGCGGCTCACTCTTGCCTCTCTCTTGACCACCAAAATGTAGAGGTCTACAGTGTGGTCCAGGAGGTGGAAAAGGAGGAAAGCTGCTGGATTAAAGGGCTACACATGGTCTAGTTCAGTTCACCAGAGGAAGGAGCTAAATAGGGAACTGAGGCAGAGCTTCTATGGGAATATACTATGCTTCTGCTTGTGTGGGCCTCTCAGTTACTCTTGGAAACCAAATGCAGCAGCCATTAGGTCCTGGCCAGACCAAGGACCTGGCTCTTAAAGCTAACAGAAAGGGTAAGAACAAGTAATTCCCTGCAAGTAAGCAAATGATGTCAAGACAACACAATGTTAATATAACTACCAAAATAATGGTATTGGGACAAGTTTTTCATTATGAACACAGGCATATAAAGTCACTAAAAACGAGGTTAAAATAGTATATACACAAAAATCAAACGAATATTCATATTTGACCTGATTGTTTATAGTTCATAATGCGTGATCAAAACCGAAAGTTTCTGTGATGACTGCCCTTGCACTGTTCACCATGTAAGAACTTATTCACTATGTAAGAATTCGTTCACCATGTAAGAACTTGTTCGTTATGCTTCAGAAGATTGGAGACTGACGAGAATTAGGCTTGAGATGGATTAATGATTGTGCATTGAGCACTGACCCCCCTATACAGAATTTTATTGTTGTTAACAACCATTTGATCAATAAATATGAGAGATGCCCTCTCAAAAAAAAAATAGTATATACACATTAAATATAACAATGTAGAATACTCTATACACATGGTGATTAAAATTAATGTGAATTTGGAATGCTATAAAATTTCAATGATTTAATGTTCACTAGATTCCTTTTTTTCTTTTTGAAGTTGCTTATGTTTCTTTTCCTTTCTAGAACAGTCTCGTGAAAGCAGCCAAACTGATTTTCTTCCTTTCTTAAGTACTGAATAGGCACCATGCTAGTCACTGGACATACAGCGATAAATTGAACCTTTGTTTTCATAAGTTTACTTTTTATTTGGAAAGACAGGTATATAATAATTACACAAACAATTATTAATTACAATTGGGATATATTTCTAAAAACATTACCATTTTGAAAAATATAACAGAGAGAACTAATCTGCGGATGGTTCACGCTGACATACCAAAGCAAATTTCTTTGAAGCAGTCTTCTAGGGAATAAGAGGGGTTGTTCAGGTAAAGGGAAAGGGATGGGAGGATGCTCTGAGACAGAGCGACAGCATGTATGAAGGCTTGTTTTGATTTGTACCTGGGATTTTGTTTTAATCAGGTATGGTAAAATGACAGGCACAGAGACAACTGCCTTGAAAGAAGAGTTTATTACCTAAAATACCCAGGAAAATGGGCACACTCTACTATGTGGGACTACATGCGGATTCTTAGCTGCAGTCCTAGGAAATATATACCTTTTCAATAAATACTATTTATCCAGAAGTAGCATAAGTAAGTCTGTTCATTTTAAAAAGAGACCAACTAGAATAAACGTTTGTACAGAACTTGCCTGGTCAACTAAATCAATCAGAAAGGACTTTCAATCCTAATTTGCTATCTTCAAGCTTTATTTACTACTGAGAGGTAATCTGGACACTGGAAGAACCTGACTAACCACAAGTACTACTGTTATGAAAACATTCCTTAATGACACTAGTGAATAAAAACAAAGGCAATCTGTAATTCACAAGTATCAAGATACAACTGCTCAAATATTTATTAATCATAAGGATTGTACAATAAAATTTAGATGCAACATGAAAAGTAGGAAAACAAAATTAAAATTTCACCAAGTCACAAAACTCCTGATTCTTACCATGTAAGGATCCACAGAAAGATAAAGAGTTCTGGCCTTTACTTGTCCTTCATTGATATTATCTGGTAAATTTACTTCTTCTACTCGGAAATTTTCTGCCACCGGATTACCAGTTTCTCCTAAAATAGTAGGCAAAATACAAAATCAAAATTTGTTTTCCCACAGAGAAGACAAGTAGTGACTCTATAGCATCTTACTATGCTGATGGACAGTGACTGTAATGGGATATGTGGTGGGGACTTGATAATGGGGGGAATCTAGTAACCACAATGTTGCTCATGTGATTGTATATTAATGATACCAAAAAAAAAGTTGCTTTCCTATAAAGTCCCTTTCAGACTAGCCATTACCAAAGCAAGGAGGCTGGGGAGGGTGGATAGCGAGGGAGGGAGAAGGGGATCAAGGGGCACAATCACAAATAGGTAGGTCATGGGGAAGGCAGTACAGCTCAGAGGAGACAAGAATGACTCTACAGCATCTTAATATGTGATAGACAGTGACTACGTGGGGTGGTGGGGGCAGGGGGACTTGATAATATGCATGAATGTTGAAACCACAATGTTGTTCATGTGAAACCTTCATTAAGATTGTATATCAATGATACCTTAACTTAAAAATAAATGAGTAAAAAAAATAAAACCAACAAAAGCAAAGGAAGCCATGGTTGAGTTTTAAGCATGAGCACAACTTGATTATATTTGAACTATGAAATGGTCATTTTTGCTGCTTTTGACCCTGTTGATGTGATGCTATGAATAATAACAGACCTCTTTATATTAGACTACATCAGCATCCTGGAATAAACCTTACTTGAACACAGCATTTATTCTTTTTTTTTTATTTTTTTTATTTTTTATTTAGCATTTATTCTTTAAATATACTCTTAGATTTTATTTAGATTGAATACTTAGTATTCTTATACCCGTATTCATTCATAAAATTAGTCCATAGTTTTTTTGTTTGCTTGTTTGGGTGACATTTTGTTCTCTTTTTGTCTCAAGATCATGCTAGTCTTGTAAACAAAAATTAAAGTCCCTGCTATCACGAAAAAAAAAACACAATGAAGTCCCTTTCCTATATTTATTATTATTTAAAAGGTCACTCTAGGATTCAGAACACTCTTTTAATACAGGCATGAGTAAATCTACATTGTTATGTAATTTCTCTGTAACTCAGAGTAAATTCTTCAAACAGTTTCAATTGCTCTTGATTTTTCTCCAACAAGTTCCTTGGGAATACTGCTGCCAACTTCAAAAATATTTTTAAGATCATTACAGGTAAATGACCCTCATCTGTTTTAAAATTACAGAAGGATTTCAAAAAGTCAAAAATCACAGCCAGCTTTTTTTCTACTTAAGAAAATTGAAATTTACAAAGCAGCAGAAACACCACAACAGCCAAAGTAAACAGTTGGGTAAACTTCCCTTACTCAATTTAAAAGAAAACAGACACTTAAATTAATAAAATAATAATTTGAAAAGTAAAGTTTTAAAAATTAGGAAATTAGAAAAGTTGAAGTATGAAAGGAAAATTTATAAGCAGAAAATATCATCACTAAAAGCGTACTCTCATTCAGTTATGTTTCATAGAAGCAAACTTCCTAGTCATTGCATCATCAAATTTCTAAGATGGGAATAGACTGTAAAGATTTTAATTTAACTGCTCACTTTACTAAACTGAGGTCACAAAAGGTAAGTGACTTGCCCAGGGTATATTCTAGGTAGGCAGCAAAACCAAGACAGCATGGGCCCAAACTTCTCAGGTATTTCCACACCTAAATGTCTATGTTTCAGATTAGATGTCAGCACAGACACAGGTGAGTCCTTTTCACATAACACAGAAAAGCAAATTTTAAAAATCAATGATACCTACTTTGAAGAAAAAATAAAAGCCACATGTATTTAAAATATAAACTTCTGCATATTGTAATAATTTTAAGATAATTTCTTCAACAAACGGCCTAGATAAGGTATAACTTGAAAACATTTTATTACACTCTTTAAAGAGTTTCTTTTAATATCTCTATTAGAGTTTATATCTTCCTACCTTAATTTATCACATTGACATCATCTTACTTTTTGTTCCTCCGTTTGCATTAATAATTGTCAAAGGCCACAGCTGTTCATTTGTCACAGACAAATACCTACCAGGTCGAGAATTCAGTACCACTCTTTGTATAGTCATCACCTTGCTTGCACAGTGGTCTCACAGGATTTCTGTATAAAATAACTCCTATAAACAAAAAAAAACTTTTAATCACAAGAAAGTTTTTAAATGTCTGGCAACTTACAGGTAAAAAAGAAGCACAGTTGTGTTTCTGAACAAGGAGAGGAAAAATCATATTTAGGATCCAAAAAAGACCTAGTTTCCTGTTAAAGTTTGTCTCCTAAAACAAACACAAGAAGAAAGACTAAATCTAATCAGAAATTTTGGTTAATATCATGCCATTGACTGTTGAAGAAACACTTGTTTCTTCTTTCCTTTGTCTATGGAATGTCCCTTGATTACTTCTCCATGGTGTCATTTACCTCATTCTTCTATCTCCTTTCTCACCTTTGACTGGTAGTTAGATCTAGAGATTTTATTAGATGCAGGTTCAATTTTTTAGGCAGGAATCTTAAAAGGTGGTGCTGTGTGCATCCTATTTCATCACATTAATCAGCTCAATGTAGGGTTAGATGTATATTTTTAAAGGATATTTTCTATTGAGTCATCTTGTGTGTAAGTAATATAATGAGAAGTTATTATGTAAAACAAAGTTTTCCAAACTGTTGCTGGATCCAAAAGATTACTGCCCTGAGGTGTTTATTAATAGTACCATGATGGCAAAATTTCCAAAGGAGTCTTTCCAAGTGAAGTTTTATATTTGCCCCTTTCTCTAATTATTTTCAATGTATGCTATATATCTTTAAAATATGCACACTGTAGCTTTGTCCAAATACTGCTCAGCATGAAAAGTACACTATTAAAATACACTCCCTTTGCATTAAATTAGAAGGTTTTCAAGGGTCAAATATACTATAATTAACCAAGGGAGGATAATCACACAGTATTCTCTGTAGATAATACTGGACACTGAAACTCAATAGCACAACAAACAACACATTTAGAACATAGAGATGATGTTAGTGACATTTAGTCATAAAATCAAAATCTAAAATATGATGCACCAAGTTCTAGATCTGAAAGTAAGGGTAGTGGTGGCATGAAATTTATCCCAAGGTGGGGGGAGAAAAACTCAAGTCTCTATTGACTAATATTAAGCCAACCAAATTTGTCTGGTATGTTAAGTGGGTTCCTAACTGGTGAAATAATATTCCAAAATAATACCGTATCAATTACCAACTCAAAAATTCACACTGGTGCCAGTGTGTTATTTGAGTGTCTACCTGGCAGCCTGGTGTAAAGGAAAGGGCACTGAACTAAGAGCAGAGGCCATGTTCTGGTTCTAATCACTGGAATCTTATTCTAAGTCCCTTCTCTCAGCCTGTTTCCTGAATGTTCCTAAGTGCCAGGAAGTGGGCTAAAGACTTTCTAGTCATTGTCTTTTTCAACCACCACACCCATCAGCCCATAGGGATGGTACTGTCATTGTGCCCATTTATAGAAGAGGAAAGGATGGCACAGAGAGGTTGAATAACTTGCACATGGTCACACAACTGGTAATGATGACACTAGAACTCACACTCAAATACACACCATTTCCATAAAATGAGCTTCCTGACACCTTAAAAAAAAACAACACTTCTCATCCTGGTCTTGTTCAACTGTGCTACCACAAATGACTCTGTAACGTTTTCATAAGGCCTTGGTATAAACGCGACAATCTCCGGAAGATGCTCTCCTTCTCGCTGGTCGCTCTCCTCTCCTTTGTCTTATGGTTTCCACGCTCCTCTGCCGAAATCTAACGTGGGGATTTCTGCCTGGCTCTTCTCTTTCTCAGCACCCTCACCTTCCTCTGTGGCTCCCACTACCAACCACTCAAATGGAAATTACTAAAACACTGCATCTACAGCCCATAATTTGAAACCAACTTCCCAGATTGTAAGCACCAAGAGGATAGGGATTTGTGATTCTTTCACGTACGGCAAGGACATGGTACAAGCACCATGATTAACTTTTCCTGCCAATGATGAAAAATGCTGAGATATAAACAGTATGGTAAGAACAGGAGGCTCTCCATCTTAAGGCTAAGATTCCATTGAACAAAAAAAGAGAGTTGAGAAGTAAGATTCCTAACATACTCTTTCGTAACCAGCCAACAGCCTACCTTAAGTCATGGCGAGCAGTCTTAACTGATACGTACCCACTCTTTGAGGGCAACCACTGTCTTGAAGAACAGGATAAATAAATCCCTTTTGTTGGGTTTATTTAGCAAAATTAGCTGGAAGACTGATAGTAGAGGAGAGGAGACATGGTGTCTCACCAGAGATAAGGGTCTTGAGGCCACAAGTCAAGTCTATGCCCAACAACCTCCCCTCTGCCCTTTGCCCCATTCTTGAAAGCCTTAAAAGACAAAATCCCCAAACTTTCAGTGCGCCTACTGAGGACATCCGCGCTTTCCTTTAAGAGCGTACTTTCAAATAAAGCTTTCTCACTGCTCAAATTATTGTGTTTTGTCTCTTTGCTACTTCATTTTATTTCCAAGTTTTCATTTTGTCTCCGCTTTACTCCTGATAAGTAGGAAGGGGCTGCCAAGACCTCAGATTTGGACCTGCATGTTTCTGTTGCCTGAATGACCCAGGCAAAACTGCAGCTGTGCGATCTGCTCTTAGTAGCCTGCCTGAAAATTTCCTTTACTTGGGAAGTTCTCAGAACATAATCTTACTCCATCCTGTGCTCCGTGGCTCTCCCAAATCTTGGAGTGGTAGGGGCTGGTCCCCATGCCATGCAGACTCAAGCAGACACAGGACGCCAGGTGACCCTGACTTCAGGAGTTGGCAATGGGAATCTGCCCTAGGCCGAGAACTTTCCTCTGTCCGTCTGCGCTTATTGGTTCTCTGTTGCCTGCAAGGCAGCCGCCATTCCCTGCTGCTGCTCTTGCTTTAATGATTTCCTTCCTTACCTACAAATCGTCTGACCTGCTGGAGAATTCTTTTTCGCCCAGAGTCAAGAACCCTTCCCCATCCAGGTTGAGGTTTCTCCTAGTGCTTCACCTAGTGCGCAAGGAGAGACCTCCCCAGACGCACCTGCACGGCAACATTTCGTTCAATGTTTTATGTTCAACCCCTATGCCTGGCTATGATAGCTGCTCAACAAAAGTGTTCAGTGAACGTCCCCGAGGCACCTTAAACGCAATTAGGTCCAAACTTGAAGTTGCTTACTCCCAACAATTCTAAAATGAATTTTTTAAATTAAAAAACAAAACCCCCAAACCCTTGCTTCTGCCCCTCCTTCAACATTCCCCAACCCAGTGACCTACAGTCCATAACGCCACCGTTGCCGGTGGCTCCGGGAGGGAGCCTGGAAGTCGCCCTGCTTCCTAGATCCTCCCTCACCCCGAAGATCGACCCAGCTTGGGGTTCCCAGTCCCCGCGGCCCGGGCCGCAGCCCCCGGCGGGACACTCACGGCCAAGGAGCCCTGGAGCGAAGCTCGCGTGCCTCGCGGGGCTTGAGCTGGGCTCGCTGAGCGACTTCGGCTCTCCGACTGCAGTGCGCAGGCGCAAGACCAGGCCTCTCGCCGCACCGCCCTCCGCCAGGAGGCGGGCTTTCAAAATTTAGGCACCATTCTGGGTCCCCGCGTTTCCTGGAGAAGTCGAGGAGGTGCGGAGCTTCAAAGTATAGTCTCCTGTCTGCGTAACGTGTATTAAAGTAAAAGAACCAGGATTGCTGCCTCATGGCCGCTCGGACTGCCTGGACCCCAGTAGCACATCCTTCGACCTGAACCGGGAGTTCACTTCTAGCAGTCCTTCAGGGAATTTTTATGTACTTCACCTTGATCCTTGGACTGGAAAATTACAGCGAGAGCGGGCCGTCAAGCCTTTCCCTAGTTTTATAGATGGGGAACCTGAGGCTCGGGGAGCTGATGTGATTGGACACCCACCTTTCAGCTGGTTAGGGGCAGTACTGGGGTTAAAATCGTGTCTCCAGGCTGCTGATCTGTATCCCTTAAGACAGGACTGTCTTTTCTTTCACAACGCATCCCAGCTTCCTCAGAGATGGATTGCCCAATGTTCTGCTAATTTCTAAATTTTGTTAATTATCAGTTGCCTCTTTTTGTGTTGAACTGGGTTGAACAAGGCTTATCCCGAAGACAGAGTGGATCCCCAGGGACCTCAAACCCTAAGAGAGACCATCCTGAATTAGCAAGGTGAAAGAATTGCTATTTACCTTGCATTTATGTCAGAGCTAACAGCTCAGCATAATCATTGTATTTGCTAGCTGAAAAATGACTAGGGTGGTGAGCAAGGGGACAAGAACCACTTAACAAGTTGGTGCTCCTGGCAACTTCATCTGTGGAAGGATGACTTCTTTGGAAATGCTTCAACAAAGGACTAGAAGGACTATACTTCTTTGCAAGCTCCTTCAGGCAGGAAGGGGCTGATCTCCAACCTGTTTTGTACAGGTAAACCTTCAATAACCTTTTATTATAACTTGAACCAACTGATAAAAAAGAAAATTTTCTAACAGACTAAAAGTAGTAGCATAACATAAAGGTAGTCTAGACTTTGATCTTAAACGAAATGATCTTTGAAAATAAAAAACTGCAATATTAAATTAGTTTTGACTCTCTTGATTCTAGGGCCTGTAAATTACTGGGAAAAAGTGTGATTTTTCTCCCCAGAATGCATTCTTTTTTTTTTTATGGAGATATTTTTATTATACTATTGTTGGGGAGGAACACATTTCCTCTGTCCCCTGGTCTAAGAATCAAATTGACATGAGCCAGATTAACAGGAGAAAAAACAAAGTTTATGAACATAGAGGAAAGCCATAGACTAGGGTTCCAAAGATAGGGGAGAATGAGGTATATATGTCGTCCTGAACCAAGGAAAAGAAGTTAGGGGTCTGAGACTTAAAAGGAAAAGGGAAGCAACTCACAGGAATATGAAGAGTAAATGTTTAACATTCAAATATTCACTGGGCCACACAGTAACAATGAAGGGACACAAAAGGGAATTTTAACAGACTTAGCCTAATCCCGCCTGGTCTGCCACACCTAGTCTATAATATTGCTGTCCAGGGTAATAGTTTTCTTCCTGGAGCATGCACTCTACCTAAATTCTTTTTATGCATTTGGCAGTGGGAGGTCAAAGTTTCTTCACAGTCTTTTGGGCTTCAATTATTCTCAACTCTGAAATAATATGCATGTTACAATGGATGGCACATCTTGGAGCAACCTGCCCTTGGTCCCTACACTATCTCCAACATAGGTAGGTGAAATGGTCTAGGACAGGTAATCTTCGGTCTCAAACAGTGCCATAGTTTTATGGAATTATTTTGCAAATCCTCAGTTTCTTATATACCCTGAACTTGAAACTATCCGAGAACAGATTCCTCAGGATTTCTTTACCAAGGCATCTTGCACAAATCTCCTCTCCTTTAGAGAAGAAAGGCTTCCTGCATCACTCATCGCAGTTGTTCTGGTGTACTGCTCCAGGATGTAAAAATATTTGTGGACAATCCAAACAAAGGGAAAAACCCAGAACGTATAGCTCCATGGAGAGAAATTTTGAAGGAAGCAGGACCAAATTTCACCCTCATAACAAACTTCTGCCATCTCTGATTGTTTTTTTTTTAATGGTTGAATTTTTTTATTAAGGTATCATTGATATACAGTCTTATGAAGATTTCACAAGAAAAACAATGTGGTTATTACATTCACCCTTATTATCGAGTCCCCCACCATACCTCTTTGCAGTCACTGTCCATCAGTGTAGTAAGATGCCACAGAGTCTCTATTTGTCTTCTCTGTGCTACACTGTCTTCCCCATGACCCCACACACACCATGTGCACCAATCATGATACCCTACAATCCCCTTCTCCCTCCTTCCCCACTTGCCCTCCCCCACCTCTCCCCTTTGGTAACCGCTAGTCGCTTCTTGGAGTCTGTAAGTCTGCTGCTATTTTGTTCCTTCAGTTTTACTTTGTTGTTATACTCCACAAGTGAGGGAAATCGTTTGTTATTTGTCTTTCTCTCCCTGACGTATTTCACTGGGCATAATACCCTCTAGCTCTGTCCATGTTGTTGCAAATGGTAGGATTTGTTTCATTCTTATGGCTGAATAGTATTCCATTCTGTATATGTACCACATCTTTGTCCATTCATCTACTGATGGACACTTAGGTTGCTTCCATTTCTTGGCTATTGTAAATAGTGCTGTGATAAACATAGGGGTGCATATGTCTTTTTGAACCTGAGAAGCTGTTTTCTTTGGGTAAATTCCTAGGAGTGGAGTTCCCCGGGTCAAATGGTATTTCTATTTTTAGTTTTTTGAGGAACCTCCATTTGCTTTCCTCAGTGGTTGAACTAGTTTGCATTCACACCCACAGTGTAGGAGGGTTCCCCTTTCTCCGCATCCTTGCCAGCATTTGTTGCTCCTAGTCTTTTCTATGTTGGCCATCCTAACTGGTGTGAGGTAGTATCTCTTTGTGGTTTTAATTTGCATTTCCCTGATAATTAGTGATGTGGAGCATCTTTTCATGTGCCTGTTGCCCATCTGAATTTCTTCTTTGGAGAAGTGTCGTTCATATCCTCTACCCATTTTTTAATAGAGTTATTTGCTTTTTGGGTGTTGAGGCATGTGAGTTCTTTATACATTTCAGATGTTAACCCCTTATCGCATATGTCATTTATAAATATATTCTCCCATACTGTAGGATGCCTTTTTGTTCTGCTGATGGTGTCCTTTGCTTTTTAGCATAATGTAGTCCCGTTTGTTCATTTTTGCTTTTGTTTCCCTTGCCCGAGGAGATGCGTTCAGGAAAAAGTTGCTCATGTTTATATTCAAGAGATTTTTGCCTATGTTTTCTTCTAAGAGTTTTATGGTTTCATGACTTACATTCAGGTCTTTGATCCATTTCAAGTTTACTTTTGTGTATGGGGATAGACAATAATCCAGTTTCATTCTCTTACATGTAGCTGTCCAGTTGTGCCAACACTAGTTGTTGAAGAGGCTGTCATTTCCCCATTGTATGTCCATCACTCCTTTATTGTATATTGTTACAGAAAATACTGGAAAACCTGGACTGGATCACTGACAGAAGAACCAAGCAGCACTTGGAGGTCTTGGAGTTTTGAGGTTTTTTTACACCAGTGGCCCAGAGGGAAGTAATTTCCCAAGGTCTGAGTCCTGAGCACAAGCAGGGGGAACAGTTTATATTATTTTGATATGTTACATTTCGGTATGCACAGGGCAAAAGAGAAGCCCAGAGGAGGGGAGGAGGGATCTGGGAGTGCTTTGCCAACTGGAGGGAAAAAGTGGTTTGCTGACCTTGACAGCTGTGTTGAATATTTTCCTTATCATATTAATTGACCATATATGCTTGGGTTTATATCTGGGCTCTCTAATCTGTTCCATTGGTCTATAGGTCTGTTCTTGTGCCAGTACCGAGAATGTGTTCTCATTCCCAAAATTCAAGAAATGAGTGTCTTACTTATGACCTCATGAGAGGAGAGAACTTCCTAGCTAAAGCTCTCCCAAACTACTGAACCTAGCAACTGTGTGAAGAAATAATTTCTTATTGTTTTAAGCTAGGTGTTGGGGTATTAAGTTATACAGCAATAGAAAAGTCATCTCAATACAAAAGACACCTTGATTGCTCTCATCACATAGGAAGTTCCAAGGGTTTTACGAGCTCTGTTTCAGAAACAAAGACCAAATACATATTTCTTATTGTAAATCACAATATAACAGGGACATTGTTTTGAGGAACAGGATATTTGCATGGCCATAAGTGTTTCTACACAGACTTTTTAGTGCAAGTTAGAAAAAAAATAATTATACAGTAGAAAATCAGACAATGCCTTGACTAGGTGATCGAAATTACTATCACCAGTTAAGAATAAATGGATATTGACTGCCTCTAGATATGAGTAAGTATACTATAGTACACTTCAAACTATACTACAGAATACTATATTAGATGCAGAGTATATAAGATATAGAAATTATCTAAATCATCTTCTAAGGAAAATATCAACACAAAAATAGTCACATTAAGATTAAAATCTGGGAGTGCTTTGCCAACTGGAGGGAAAAAGTGGTTTGCTGACCTTGACAGCTGTGTTGAATATTTTCCTTATCATATTAATTGACCATATATGCTTGGGTTTATATCTGGGCTCTCTAATCTGTTCCATTGGTCTATAGGTCTGTTCTTGTGCCAGTACCGAGAATGTGTTCTCATTCCCAAAATTCAAGAAATGAGTGTCTTACTTATGACCTCATGAGAGGAGAGAACTTCCTAGCTAAAGCTCTCCCAAACTACTGAACCTAGCAACTGTGTGAAGAAATAATTTCTTATTGTTTTAAGCTAGGTGTTGGGGTATTAAGTTATACAGCAATAGAAAAGTCATCTCAATACAAAAGACACCTTGATTGCTCTCATCACATAGGAAG